GCTTGGAGGGGATTGTAACCATGGCAATGAAATGATATACGATAGAATGAATGTAAAACTAATGTTCTCCCATGTAAACTATCATATAATTCACAAGAAAACATTAAAAAAATATATTTACAGCCTTAGAAACCCTGTACAGGGTCGCTATGAGTCAGAACCAATTCCACGGCACATAACCACCACCACCATTTAACCTGTATGCTGAGCAAATAATCTGAGAAGCTGAGTTAGATGAAGAAAAACATGGCATCAGGATTGGAGGAAGACTCATTAACAACCTTTGATGTGCAGATTATACAGCCTTGCTTGCTGAAAGTGAAGAGGATTTAAAATACTGATGAAGATCAAAGACCACAACAACCTTCAGTATGGATTGCATCTCAATGTAAAGAAAATAAAAATCTTCACCACTGGACCAATAAACAACATTATCTATGGAGAAAAGATTGATGTCAAGGACTTCATTCTTCTTGGATCAACTATCAACACTCATAGAAGCAGCAGTCAAGAAATCAGCCAACATATTGCATTAGGCAAATCTGCTACACAAGACCTTTTCAAGGTGTTGAAGAGCTAAATGTCAGTTTGAAGACTAAGGTGTGCCTGACCCAAGCCATGGTATTTTCAGTAACCTCATATGAATGCGAAAGCTGGACAGTGAATGAGGAAAACTATAGAAGAATTGATGCATTTGAGTTATTGGTGTTGGAGGAGAATATTGAACGCACCATGGGCTGCCAAAAGAACCAACAGATCTGTGTTGTAAGAAGTGCAGCCAGAGTGCTTCCTGGTGGCCAGGATGGCCAAACTTCGTCTCTCATACTTAAGAAATATTGTCAGGAGGGACCAGTCGCTGGAGAAGGATACCATGTTTGGTAAGGTCGAGGGTCAGAGAAAAAGAGGAAGCCCCCCAGCAGAATGGATTGTCCAAGTGGACAGCATCAATGCGCTCAAACTTGGCAACAATAATGAGGTTGGCCCAGGATCTAGCAGTTTTTTGTTCTGCTGTGCATAAAGTTGCTATGATTTGGCATCAACTTGATGGTACCTAACAACAACAAAAAGGGTGAAAAAATGTTAATATAAGTAATCAGACAGATGATATACAAGAGAGAGGTTGGCAGAAGAACCTGAAGGTAGCAGGAGACACCAGGAAGAATGCCAAAGTTAAAGGAAATAGAGGTAAATATGGAATAATGCACTGGTCTGAAAAGTCAGTTTAAACCGCAAAGTCTGTGGTTTAGATCACTAGCTGCTCCTTGGAAACTATATATAGGGTTGCTGTGAGTTGGAAGCAACTCGATGGCACTTAACAACAACACTGTTAACTGATAGTACCTGGAGGGGATTGCAGTCATTGTAATGAAGCAAAGTATATGATTTGTCGAAAGTAAAATGGAGATAATCTGCTCAATTTACAATAAAAAGTTTTAGGGAAAAAAAAAAAAGATAATGGAATTTCTCCAAAAACTCTTTGAAACTTCCCTCATACTAAGTAAGATGAGAATGTGTGTACTAAGATGCAGTTGAAGGTTCTGCCATAGTTGGAGTACTTAGTACAGTACTCTAGTTCTCTTAGTACAGTATATATACTTAGTATGTAGCAAACTCAATAAGTGTTTATCACTACTATTTCCTTAATCATTCTCATTGCTAGAAATCAAGTAGAGTTTTCCGTTATGCTTGTGTTCTTTCTCATTGATGTGTGTGCTCCTTTTCCTATGACAGCAGTTCCTCCACTGGCTGCCAACACTGTGTCTCCATCTCTTGCATTGTTGGCTAACAACCTGTCCCTGGCAACAAGTGACCTACCACCCGGTGCCTCTCCAAGGAAAAAGCCTCGGAAGCAGCAGCATGTGATTTCAACAGAAGAAGGTGATATGATGGAGACAAACAGCACTGATGATGAGAAATCTACTGCCAAGAGTCTTCTGCTGAAGGCTGAGAAGCGCAAATCTCCTCCCAAAGAGTATATTGGTAATGGTCATGTGTGCTAATTATTAACTACTGTCCTATGAGGTTTTTTCACTTCAGTCAGGATTCAATCCCTGAGGTTCTTTGCAAAATCAGATTACATTAGCCACACTTATGAATCAGATACTGGAATTTTGCCTGAAGAATGCATGAAAATTTATGATAAGCTTTAATACCTCATATTTTTCTTCCTTTTGAATAGATGAGGAAGGTGTGAGGTATGTTCCAGTGCGTCCAAGACCTCCCATTACTTTGCTCCGTCACTACCGGAACCCCTGGAAGGCTGCTTACCACCACTTTCAGCGGTATAGTGATGTCCGGGTCAAAGGTTAGCTTCTCTAGAAACATCCAGTGTTAATGCATGAAATTAGGATAACATCTGGCATTATTGCAATCACAGTGGAAAAGAAAGATTCACAAGCTTTTATTTTCTAAACCATAGTTTGTATAATAAAATCTCAAGACTATTGTTCAGCATAAGTGAAATAGCTAGTTAAGGATAAATTTGGAAAATTACTTTGTTTAGCATTTATTTTGACTGTGTGTTAATAGATTGCCAAGTGATAAAAGCATGACTTACCGCCTAGTGTAATTGTGGAACTATACTAGATTACTGTTTGACATAGTCCACAGAAGTGCCTGTTGTGGGCTGCCAAGTCAGTTCTAACTCATAGCAACTGTTAAAGACAAAGCAGTACTGCCACCTAGGCTTTCCTTACAGTATTATTTAGAGAACAGATAACTGATAACTGTGCCTTTTCTCCTGTGGAGCTGCAATCTCCACAATGCAACAGTCCTCCCTCCCTGTGTTTGCCATTTCCCTTTTTCCTTCTTTCCAATCTTTTCCTGCCTTCTAAAACCTGAACATTTTAGAAGATTCCACTTTGATTAATATAAATATGATTTTAAAATTATGATTCCAAATTTGAACCAAAAACCTTTTGGTTACCAACCAGGCGCTTAGCCATTCTGTCATCAGGGTTCCTTCAGTAGTGTCTAGGATGCTAAAATGTGTGTTTCTTACATCCCAGGAAGTTTACTTTCCAAGTGTACCTTTTATCTAACATGTATGCAAAGTTTTCAGGATGCTCTCTGAGGATAACATTTTAATAAACTTACATATAATTTTAAATAGCTCATAGTACTTTGAAAATACTTTTACAGTATTTCTCCTGATTTGTTCTTGTTAAGTTCTGTCAAGTCGGTTCTGATTTGTAGTGACCCTATATAGGGTTTCCGAAGAGCAGCTTGTGGATTTGAACTGCTGATCTTATGGTTCACTGCCCAGTGCTAATCCTACAGTGCATCTATTTTAATAGTCTTTCTTATGGTAGACTTTATTTAAGTGTTATTTGTCCCAAATAAAACAAATACACCAAGATTTCTGAACTTTCAGAAAATTAGTCACATTTCCTATTCCTTCATATACATTACACTTGGGAACTTCTCTGAGAGTTTCCTAAAAGCCTCAAAATAAGTCAGATTTGGAGGAGTTAACTGCTGTTAAGCCATGCTTCCTGGATTCCTATTGTTTATTGTGACACTTTAGATACGTTGTCAGCCTGTGACCTCTAAATCTCCTATTATGCGCACACACACACACCCCTAAATATATGTGTGTGCATGTATGTGTGAAAGATAATGGAATTTATCTATGAACTCCTTAAAGCCTCTTCCTGTGTATCATTGCTCACAAACGTGTCTTCAACTGATAGAGCTTATATTGAGAAAAGTTTACTTTTTAAATTTTTATCTTAATTCCATTTTCCACAAACTTTTTGAAGTCCCAGCATCTCCTTTGGGTTAAGAACTCCAACACTACAAAACTTTACTTGAATTACTTTGTGCCTAACTTTTAAAATCATGTTTATATAAATCAAAGTGGAATCTTCTAAAATGTTCAAGTTTCAGAAGGCAGGAAGGGATTGGAAAGAAGCAAGAAGGGAAATGGTAAACACTTTTGCGTTGTGGAGATTGCAATCAGTGTAACAGAATAAATGTGTGTGAGTTGTTGAATTGAAAACCATTGAGTCAGTTCCAACTCATAGCGAACCTGTATAAGGTTTCCTAGGACCAGCTGGTAGATTCGTAGTTGAACAATTGTCCTACATTACAAACAGAAATTAATTTTTTCTATAAATAAGGAGGCCAGAAGAAAGGGTGCCAGCTCTAGGGAAACACTTTCTCTATCGACACTGAAAGACATAGTCCTTTGTTTCTTTTGAGCTTTTACTCCTGGGCAATCTTCATGTGGCTTGGCATGTATTCCCCATCTGTTTCTGGCTTGCTTGTTTAATATCTTTTCTATCTTGAAGGGGATTGAGTTCAGACACAACACACTGACATACAAATCAAACTCATTCTCAAATGTAATTGGAACCACTGGTATACCAACAAATAAGGTGTAGCAGCAATTGTGACTATGGTATAGGACCAGGCTCGTGTACATAGGGTCATTATGAGTCAGAACCAACTTGATAGCACGTAACAATGTACCAAAAAAAAAGTCTGTTGGTGTCAAGTTGATTTTGACTCATAGTGTGCCTATAGGATTCCTGGTGCTATAGTGGTTAAGTGCTTAACTGCTAACTGAAAGGTCAGCACCAAACCCACCAGCTACCCTGCTTCCTTTAAAATTATTGTTGTGCATAAGTGCCCTTGAGTCAATTCTGGCTCATAGCTACCCTGTGTAGGATTCCCTCACCCTTTAAGATTACAGCAGAGGAAAACGTATAGGGCAGTTTTATTCTGTTCTGCAGGGTCACTATGAGTTGGAATGAACTCGACCATAATGGGTTTGGGTTTTGTTACCCACAGGTATAGGGATTAGAATTTACAACATATTTTGGGGGGACACAGTTCAGTCCTTAACATTAATTTGTCAACGTCAGCTCATGAATTTTAACATGTACCATAACACTAATGTAAGATGTTAATAATAGAGGAGACTGGTGGCAGAGGGTTTGTATGAGAATTCTAACATCTTCTCAACTTTTCTATAAATCTAACACTGTTCAAAAAAGTCTTAATTTTAAAAAATTACTGGCATTAGATAAGTAGCTTCCATTGACGTATCATGTCAGCCTCTTGATTACTGGTATGTTCTGGTGTATCATGATTATTGTGCCAATGTATCTCACAAAGGATCTCCCTTTCCAGCCTTCTCTTCACCAATCATGATATCCTCCTGTAGCAATTTATCCTGATGATAGCTCCAAAGCATGCAAGTCAACCATTGTTTTATTGTGAGCCATAAGATCTTCATTGGCTAATTTTCTGAAGTAATACCAGGCCTTTTTTCATACTCTGTCTTAGTCTGAAACCTGTCTACCATGGTTACCCTACTGGTGTTTTAATGTCAAGAACATAGCTTCCAGCATCACAGTAACATACAAGCCATTACTGTATAACAAACTCACAAATGACTGGTGGTCACTGTTGTTTTGTTAAATGCCATCAAGTAGTTCCAACTCTTAGCAATCCTCTGTAAAGAGTTTTCAAGGAGTGGCTGGTGGGTTTGAACCACAAACCTTGCAGTTAGTTGTTGTTGTTAAGTGCCATCGAGTCGGTTCCAACCCATAGCGACCCTGTATAGGGTTTCTGAGGCTGTAAATCTTTACGGGAGCAGAAAGCCGTATCTTTCTCCCGCGGAGCAGCTGGTAGTTTCAAACTGCTGACCTTGTGATTCACAGCCTGATTCATAACCACTGTGCTACCAGAGCTCCTTTTGCAGTTTGTAGTCCAGTGTTTATCCTATAGCACCACACCATGGAAATACACATTAAGATACAATGAGAGACTTCCAGCAAGATGGCAGACACACAGCATGGACCATCTACAACAAAGGTACGAGAGACAAAAGAAAACACAGATGAAAATCCTGGCACTCTGAACTTCAAAGAAAGGTTAGAGAGGTGTATGTAGTGCTTGCTGGAAGGAGAGTCTGAGAAGGGACAGTGAGACAGTAAGAGACTGGTGAACAGCTAGCCAAATGTGGTTCAACCGTCTTGTGAGCAGCTTTCACAGTGGTGAGAGGCCTGTCATTTCTGTGGGCTACAGAAAAGGGTCGATTTCTTGTTTTTCCCCACGCTCCCCTGTGACCAGAAGTATGGACAACTACCACCTTCAACAACCCCCAGCACATACCCTCCTCTCTGGGAGTTCAGAGCCATGTAGTTGGGAGCTACACCAGTGTAAGGTGCCTGGATTCAGGGGGATCTGTTCCAGACCTACAAAACCAGCAGAGCCACCAGACCAGCGCTTAGCCAGTCACCTTTCCCCCAGCTTTACTGTGGTCCTAACAGATAGTGAAACCAGCTCCATCAAAGACTTCCACAAACTACTTTCGAATTCAGTGCCTTAAACATTGAGTTCTGAGGCCAGTTGGAGCTCCATATAGGGCCAGGAACTCTACTGTGTCACATCCCTTCCTACCTTATAACCTCCTTGAATTGCAGGAGCCCCCTCAGAGATTTTTCCTCTTCAGGTCCAACAACTGCACTGTTGGAACAAAACAAATAACAACAACCTCATTATGCCCCAGACAATAGAAAATTTAACTCACATGAAAAAACGACAGAATGGTTCAAACAAATGACCAAGATGCAAAACCAGAAGATGTTTCTGAGGAAAAAAAGGTAATAGAACTAACTGGAAAAGTTCAAAAGAATGATAATTAGGAACCTTCAAAGCATCAGTAGAAAGATTGAGGAAAGCAAGGAGAACACAATTAAAAACTTAAAAAGAATTCAGGAAAACACTGCAAAGACAGACGGACATGTTCGCTGGCAAGAAATCATCCCTTCAGGACAACCCCCCTCTAAGACTGAAACTCAAAGGGAACACATGAACAGGCACGTAAATTTGTTGACGACCACATTGGTCTACTGGTGAGTGGAAGAGGGGGACAGGCAGCAATGAAGGAATGGACTGAGTTCAACTACATTCCATAAATTCCTGTTGACATGGAGATGAGACAGAAAATAGGAAGAGCTGGTTGGTCCAAAGTATGGTGAGACCTAGGGACACCTGAGCCCATGGACAATGACATAGCCACAGAGGGCTAGAGCTGAGAGTAAAGCCTCTAGCTGATATGAAGTGAGGGGAGATGCACAAGAATGCTCAAACTTGCAGATAGTAACTATTTGACCTAGCCTCAATGTCTTGATAATCAGAACTCGATTAGAGGAAGATAAAAAAGAAACTAATTTTTGATAAAGGAAATGAGGATAAATTGCTACAATTTGATGAACTTGACCTATACTCATGGAGGTAGTAGTTCAAAATACCAACAGAGAAGGAAGGAGCCTTCACATCATGTATCAATGC